CCCCCCCCCTCGCTCTTCCCCCCTTCCCGGCTTCCGCCTTCTTCATCAACGAAACTGCCAGGACTCCTGCCAGCTTGTTTGGCTTTCCACTTCGTTTGATTTTTTTCTCCCCTCTCTCTTCTCTTTCCTCTTACTCCCTTCTTCCCTTTTACACCCGCTCACACCGGCAACTTTCTGTCACTCGCCTCCTTCCTCCCCTCCCCCCCCCCTCATCGCTCGTTCCGTCGCGCGACCGTGATCAAAGAACCCTCTCGGGGTAATTTGATCTTCTAGGAGGCCTGCGTCGTTGGCATCATTGCCCACCGCCAAGTCACCGCGCCAATCGTTTGTTTGGAGAGGAGAAAAGCAAAGCGGGTAGTTTGGACAGGAAAAGAGGAATAATAATCATTCGGTTCGACTCGTTATCGCTGCTCATCGACAAAAAACAACAACACACACACACACACCTGCCGCAGCAGCACAATATCCACCTCTGCCTGCAGTCCCGCTGCACAACACACGCCTCCAAGCAGCCAGAGCAACTGACAACAGCAGTCAACGCCAACCTCCTTTCTGCGCCTCCCCACGGCCCACCGCGCACGTCGATCGCTCATCCCGCTTCACCACCCCTTTCGCACCCCGTTCCAGGGCAGTTCTTGTTTGTCTAGCACCAACAAGACAGGTTCCACCACCCCGATAAACGGCTCTTCAGCACCCACCGCTCATCATCATCATCATCAACCATCACCAGGAAGGAGCTGCATTGACTGCAGTGGCCCGCCACTTCTGCCATTTCTACGCCTACCAGCTTTAGTAATTGTCGGTGTTGTAGTCGTTTTGCTGCTGCCTTTGTCGCAAGCACCAGCCGGCTACAGTTCTCAGTTTTTGGTCTAAACGCTAATTATCCATTCGTTGATTTGTCGTCTCCCATGCACTTCTGATCCGGTAAGTTGGTGGAATTCAAGCCGCCATGGCCTCACCATGTTGTTCCAGCCCGCTGACCTGTCTAGCCTAGCTTATAATTGCCCAACATGTCGGGATACCCACAGCAAGGCGGCGGAGGCCACGATGATGGCTACGGCCATGCTCCCAACGCAAATGGAAATACAGACTCGTATTACAACGACGATCAACAGTACTACGATAACCGTAATGGAGGAGGGCAGCCTGCCGGCGGTCACGCTCACGGTCAACAAGGCGAGGGTTATTATGATGAGTCGTATGTTTCAATCTTGCCCTTTTCCTGTTTCAAAATGTGTCGGACTAACGCCTCGTTTTCCTCTTTCGCAGCGGCTATTACAACGCCGACCCAAACAACCCGTACCACCAGGACGGCGGCTATTACGACAACCACGAAGGTTACCAGGAGGGCTATGACAACGGCTACTACGACCAGCATGGCTATGATCAGGCCGGCGGCTATCGCGACAACCATGCCGCTCGTGGCTCTGAGGAGGATTCCGAGACCTTTAGCGATTTCACCATGAGGTCCGACATGGCCCGTGCCGCTGAGATGGACTACTATGGCCGCGGCGATGAACGCTACGACAGCCAGTATGGCGACCAGGGCGGTGCCCGTGGTTATCGCCCTCCTTCCTCCCAGATCTCTTACGGCGGGAACCGCTCGTCTGGCGCCTCGACGCCAAACTACGGCATGGACTACGGTAACGTTCTTCCTGCCGGCCAGCGCTCCAAGGAACCGTATCCCGCTTGGACGTCGGATGCCCAAATCCCCCTCTCAAAGGAGGAGGTGGAGGATATCTTCTTGGATTTGTGCGCAAAGTTTGGTTTCCAGCGTGACAGTATGCGCAACATGTACGACCATCTCATGACGCTTCTCGACTCCCGCGCTTCCCGCATGACCCCCAACCAGGCTCTTCTCTCGCTCCATGCCGATTACATTGGTGGCGACAACGCAAACTACCGCAAGTGGTACTTCGCTGCCCATCTGGATCTGGATGATGCCGTCGGGTTCGCCAACATCAAGGGCAAGAAGGGCGGCCTGAAGCGCACCAAGAAGAAGACCAAGGGTGACGAGGCCCAAAACGAAGCCGAGATCCTTCAAGAGCTGGAGGGAGATGACTCGTTGGAGGCAGCCGAGTTCCGTTGGAAAACTCGCATGAACAGGATGTCGCAGCATGACCGTGTGCGACAGCTTGCCCTTTATCTTCTGATCTGGGGCGAAGCCAATCAGGTCCGCTTCATGCCCGAATGTCTGTGCTTCCTCTTCAAGTGCGCCGATGATTACCTCAACTCGCCCGCTTGCCAGAACATGGTCGAGCCTGTTGAAGAGTTCACCTTCCTCAACAATGTCATCACCCCGCTGTATCGCTACTGCCGCGATCAGGGTTACGAGATCTACGAAGGTGTCTACGTCCGTCGCGAACGAGACCACGAGCAGATTATCGGTTACGATGACTGCAACCAGCTCTTCTGGTATCCCGAGGGTATCAACCGCATCGTTCTCGAGGACAAGAGCAAGCTGGTGGACGTTCCTCCCGCTGAGCGTTATCTCAAGCTCAAGGATGTCAACTGGAAGAAGTGTTTCTTCAAGACTTACAGGGAGAGTCGCTCGTGGTTCCACATGCTTGTCAACTTCAACCGTATCTGGATTATTCACTTGACCATGTTCTGGTTCTACACTGCCTACAACATGCCTACCATTATCACCCCCAATTACGAACAGCAGGTTAATCAGGGACCCCCAAGGGCTGCCATGTGGTCCTTCGTCGGTTTCGGTGGTGGTGTCGCGGCGGCAATCAACTTTGGAGCAACTATCGCGGAATGGGCCTATGTTCCTCGCAGGTGGGCTGGTGCGCAGCATCTGACCAAGCGGCTGTTCTTCATGATCTTCGTCCTCATCATCAACTTGGCTCCTGGTGTCTACGTCTTCCTTCCGGGCAAGTCGGGTGAGGAGCTGATTGCGCATCAGAACAGCACCCCTGCCTATGCTGTCGGCATCGTGCACTTCTTCATCGCTCTCATCACCTTCCTGTTCTTTGCGGTCATGCCTCTTGGTGGTCTCTTCGGCAGCTACCTCACCAAGAACACGCGCAAGTACGTCGCCAGTCAGACATTCACTGCCAGCTGGCCTCGCCTCAACGGGGCTGACATGGCCATGTCCTTCGGCTTGTGGGTGGTCGTCTTCGGCGCCAAGTTCGGAGAGTCGTACGTGTATTTGACCTTGTCGATTCGCGACCCAATTCGTTACATTGGTCTTATGGATACCTCGTCATGTCTTGGGGACTCGATCCTGCAGAAGTATCTCTGCCCTTACCAACCGCAAATCACGCTGGCTCTGATGGTCTTCACTGGTATGATCTTCTTCTTCCTAGATACATATCTGTGGTACGTCTTGATCAATGCCGTCTTCTCGGTTGCTAGATCTTTCTACCTCGGTTCCTCGATCTGGACTCCTTGGAGAAACATCTACTCTCGCCTGCCCAAGCGTATCTACTCCAAGGTCCTCGCGACAACGGACATGGAGATTAAGTACAAGCCCAAGGTCCTCATCTCCCAGATCTGGAACGCTGTCGTCATCTCCATGTACCGCGAGCACCTTCTGGCCATTGATCACGTCCAGAAGCTCCTCTACCACCAGGTGCCCTCTGAGCAGGAAGGAAAGCGTACTCTGCGTGCCCCCACTTTCTTCGTTTCCCAGGAAGACCACTCTTTCAAGACCGAGTTCTTCCCTCAGTACAGCGAAGCCGAGCGCAGAATTTCCTTCTTCGCCCAGTCGCTCTCTACTCCGATCCCCGAGCCTCTCCCCGTTGACAACATGCCCACCTTCACTGTCATGATTCCTCACTACAGCGAAAAGATTCTTCTTTCTCTGCGTGAGATCATTCGCGAAGATGAGCCCTACTCTCGAGTCACTCTCTTGGAATACCTCAAGCAGCTCCATCCCCACGAATGGGATTGCTTCGTTAAGGACACCAAGATTCTCGCGGATGAGACCTCGCAGTTCAACGGCGACGCCGAAAAGGAGAAGGAGAAGGAGAAGGAGAAGGAGACCGTCAAGAACAAGATCGACGATCTTCCCTTCTACTGCATTGGTTTCAAGTCCTCGGCGCCCGAGTATACCCTCAGAACCCGTATTTGGGCTTCGCTTCGCTTCCAGACCCTGTACCGTACCGTCTCTGGTTTCATGAACTACGCCCGCGCCATCAAGCTTCTCTACCGTGTCGAGAACCCTGAGGTAGTCCAGATGTTCGGTGGCAACTCCGACAAGCTCGAACGTGAACTCGAGCGCATGGCTCGTCGCAAGTTCAAGCTGTGTATTTCCATGCAGCGTTTCGCCAAGTTCAAGAAGGAGGAAATGGAGAACGCCGAGTTCCTGTTGCGCGCCTACCCCGATCTCCAGATTGCGTACCTCGACGAAGAGCCTCCTCTTGCTGAAGGCGAGGAGCCTCGCATTTACTCTGCTCTCATCGACGGTCACTCCGAGATCATGGAGAACGGTGCGCGCCGGCCCAAGTTCCGTATCCAGCTTTCCGGAAACCCCATTCTCGGTGACGGAAAGTCCGACAACCAGAACCACGCCATCATCTTCTACCGCGGCGAGTACATCCAGCTTATCGATGCCAACCAAGACAACTACCTGGAGGAGTGCTTGAAGATCCGCAGCGTTTTGGCCGAGTTCGAGGAGATGAAGACCGACAACCTTTCGCCTTACACTCCCGGCGTCAAGAACGAGGTCCACCACCCTGTTGCCATTCTCGGTGCTCGCGAGTACATTTTTTCTGAGAATATTGGTATCCTTGGTGATATTGCCGCCGGTAAGGAACAGACATTCGGTACGCTCTTCGCCAGAACCTTGGCCCAGATTGGTGGCAAGCTCCATTACGGTCATCCCGATTTCCTCAACGGTATCTTCATGACTACCCGTGGCGGTGTCTCCAAAGCTCAGAAGGGTTTGCATCTCAACGAGGATATTTACGCCGGCATGAACGCTCTCTTGCGTGGTGGCCGTATCAAGCACTGCGAGTACTACCAGTGCGGCAAGGGTCGTGATTTGGGTTTCGGCTCCATTCTCAACTTCACCACCAAGATCGGAACTGGTATGGGTGAACAGATGCTCTCTCGCGAGTACTACTACCTCGGAACTCAGCTCCCGCTCGATCGTTTCCTGTCCTTCTACTACGCCCATCCCGGTTTCCACTTGAACAACATGTTCATCATGCTCTCGGTCCAGCTCTTCATGCTTTGCTGCGTTAATATCGGCGTTCTGCGTCATGAGACGATCCGCTGCGAGTACAACCGCGATGTCCCCATTACCGATGCCCTCTTCCCCACTGGCTGCTCCAACACCGACGCTCTTCTGGACTGGATCTACCGCTGCGTTCTCTCCATTTTCTTCGTCTTCTTCCTTGCTTTCGTTCCCCTGATTGTCCAGGAGTTGATGGAGAAGGGTGTGATCCGCTCTGCGACTCGTTTCCTCAAGCAGATCTTCTCCCTGTCGCCTTTTTTCGAGGTGTTCGTCTGCCAGATCTACGCCAACTCTGTCCAGCAGGATTTGTCCTTCGGCGGTGCCAGATACATCGGTACCGGCCGTGGTTTCGCCACCGCGCGTATCCCCTTCGGTGTGCTCTACTCCCGTTTTGCCGGTCCTTCGATCTACTTCGGAGCTAGGTTGGTCATGATGTTGTTGTTTGCCTGCTTGACTGTCTGGCACGCTGCTTTGATCTACTTCTGGATTTCGCTCATGGCCTTGGTCATCTCGCCCTTCCTCTACAACCCTCATCAGTTCTCCTGGGCGATTTCTTCATCGACTACCGCGAGTATCTCCGCTGGCTCTCGCGTGGTAACTCTCGCTCGCACGCCTCCTCTTGGATCACCTTCTGCCGCCTTTCGCGTACCAGAATCACTGGTTTCAAGCGCAAGATTATCGGAGACCCGTCGAGCAAGCTCTCGGGCGATGTTGCCAGGGCTGCTATCACCAACCTTTTCTGGGCCGAGATGTTTACCCCCTTCATCCTTGTCTGCTTGACGGTCATTCCGTATCTGTTCATCAACGCGCAGACTGGTGTCGCAGGTGAATTTGGACCTCGCCGCGACGATTTTGAACGCGGGAAAGTTAAGCCTACTGCCGCCCTGATCCGTCTATTGGTTGTCACGTTCGCGCCCATGGCTGTCAATGCTGGTGTCCTTGGCGGCTTGTTCGGCATGGCCTGCTGCATGGGTCCTTTGTTGAGCATGTGCTGCAAGAAGTTTGGCAGCGTTTTGGCAGCCATTGCCCATGCTATTTCGGTCATTATCCTCCTGGTCATGTTCGAAGTCATGTTCGTCCTCCAAAACTTCAAGTTTACCCCTACGCTCCTCGGCATGATTGCCATGGTCTCGATTCAGCGCTTCATCATCAAGCTCATTGTCTCGTTGGCGTTGACTCGTGAATTCAAGACTGATTCGTCCAACATTGCCTTCTGGACCGGCAAGTGGTACTCTATGGGCTGGCACTCGGTTTCGCAACCTGCTCGTGAGTGGCTTTGCAAGATTACGGAGCTCAGCATGTTCGGCGCCGACTTCATCCTTGGCCACATCATCCTGTTTTTGATGTTCCCCGTCATCATCATCCCCAAGGTCGATGTGCTTCACTCGGTTATTCTCTTTTGGCTCCGCCCAAGGTATGTCATTCGACTTGTTTTGCTGTTTTGACTCTCGCTAACATGTATCTTTGTAGTCGTCAAATTCGTGCCCCCATTTACTCGTTGAAGCAGACGAAGCTCAGGAGGAGGCGTGTGATCCGCTATGCGATCCTCTACTTTATCTTACTTGTCATCTTCGTCGCCCTGATTGTTGGACCGATTGTGGCCGGTAAACAGATTGACGACGCAACTCTCGAGCAGTTGAACAACTTCGGCGATGGAAGTTTCATCCTCCGGCAGTACCCCTGGGTGCTGGGCAGTGGTCATGACAATGACGACACCAGGGGTCGTTTGGAGACGGGAACCAAGTACACTGGCTACTCTGGTGTTTGGACCCCGACGACGACCTCAGACTTTGGTTCTGAGCCTACTGGTGGGGCTGAAAGGAGGATGGCATTCTAGGGTGATGAGACAAGGAAAGGGGAACTGGTGGGTTAGCATGGGGTTGATTGGTTTGACACTATGTCACCAGTTCTCTGGTATTTTTTTGTTTCGATTTGTTTGTTTTGTCTTTTCTTTTTGGGTTTTGCGTGGTTAGTAGCAACGGAAATCATGAATTGCGGTGTAAAACTCGGTTGAATGTTTGTGTGAGAGAGAAAGAGGGCTTTGTGTATTTGGTGTTAGATTATCCCATATATGTTTCTTCCCTCTCTGCTCCCTCATCTTGCCCCATCGGTGGCAACACTGCGAACGGGCAAAATCTTTGCATGTACGGGTGAGGAAGACACTGAGCAAGGAAACGGGAGTCGGATTCCGGAGGCGGTTGTGGCGGCTGCGGTTTTAAAGGCATGATACACACGGCTTTGCTAAACTCGTCTTTCTCTTCTTGACGCTCTCTCACTCGAACCTTCTGCCGTGGTCTTTCTTTATTTTTAATATCATTCGATCATATCTAGTCTCGGGGAATTCTACAATCAATACATACTAGTATCATAAGCTCAAGCCTTGTCCTGTTACTTGCACTTCCTCGTCCATGGCCACCAATGTTTGTTTGACAACCCTGGGATATTCACATTTTTTAGGTTGACATCGCGGAGAAAAGAATGTGTGGTGGGTTTGACTGGTGGTGGTGGTGTTATGAACTTGTGTGTCGGTGGTTCGATGATGGATCACTCCGAGGCAGACTCGGTGGGTCCGTTTGAGCCAAGATCCAACAGTGGTGATTGGCCCACAGGGCAATTACCCCTGAGCTTGTGCAGCAATTGAAAAATTATGCAAGGGTGATTGGCTCTTTAAGTGCAGAGAGGCCAGGCTCAGGTAGGTACATTGGAGGCCACTGCCATGCTGAATGCCCGGCCTGAGTACCTACCTCTACCTACCTACCTAGGTTGTACCTGTACGTCCTGGTGCTAAGAGATTGAGTGGCCAGCGAGGTGCCCAGTATAACGGCCTTGAACGGTAGCTGGAACACTCCGAAGGGTCCGACACGTTCGGCGTAGGCGACCCCAACCGCCGCTTTCGTGGACCTCGTGGATTTCTTGACCGCCCAACTTCTCCGATTGTCAGTGTCAGCGTCAGTGTCAGCGTCAGTGTCAGCAACGATCGCGTGGGCAAGACGGGACAGACTGACAGTTTTGAGTTCCACTCTTCCTCTCCTTGAACCTTTCTCCATAATCATTTTTGTTTCATAACAAAACCACGACGAAGACTCGAGAGATCCCCGAGGTTCTCCCAAGCAAAGAGGTTCGTCCGTCCCTAGCGGTACCTCTCTCTCGATCTCGGTCGACCATCACGGCATTCTGAGCGAGCACACGATCCTCTCCCGATCTCCTAACCATCGACGTCGAGTCTCGGGTTGGAAAACGGATCTACGTAGTCGTAGCCGGCGCGCGCATCTCCATCCGATATCCCCAACCGCCGCCGCATCACGCCCGTCGAGCGAGCGCATTCCCCTCGATCGCATCGCATCGCGTCGCATCCTACCCAACCCATCAACCTCGGGCTAGGCACTAGACGAGCAACAAGATGGAGCTCCAAGAACTCCAAACCCTCCTGACCGAATGGCTCGACGAAGCCACCAACGCCTTCCAAAAGGTGCCGGGGTCTGCAGTCCTGATCCGCTATGTCAGGTCATCGTACCAGAACGACCCGGTGCGCTCGGCTATTGAGCTGGTGCTGGTCATCTTCTTCATCCGATACCTTATGTCGCCGGCGTATTCGACTTCGAAGCAGAACTTTATCAAGTTGACTGACGATGTGAGTTTCACGACGAGGGAGACCGGGATGGAGGGGAATGGGTTGTTGAGTAGAGAGGGCCAAGTGCTGATTCTGGGACAAACAGGAAATCGATGAGCTTGTTGAAGAATGGACGCCCGAGCCTCTCGTGCCGGACATGACCGCCCTCGAGGAGATGGAGGCCGAGAGGTTGCCAGTTATTGTTGGGTAAGCTATCCATCCACCTTGATAATCGCAAAAAAGAGACGAATGCGCTGACACAGGAGAACAACAGCCCGACCGGTCCCAAATGCAAGCTCTCCAACGGCCGCACCGTCACCAACCTCGCCTCGTACAATTTCTACAACCTCAACGCCAACGAGCAAATCAAGGAAAAGGCCATCCAGACCCTGCGCACCTACGGCGTCGGCCCCTGCGGCCCTCCCCAGTTCTACGGCACCCAGGACGTGCACATGCGCACCGAAGCCGACCTCGCCAACTACCTCGGCACCGAGGGCTGCATCGTCTATGCGCAAGCCTTTTCGACCATCTCCTCCGTTATCCCAGCCTTCCTGAAGCGCGGTGACGTCGTCGTCGCCGACCGCGCCGTCAACTACTCAATCCGCCGCGGTCTCGAGATCTCGCGCTCCAACATCAAGTGGTACGCGCACAACGACCTGGACGACCTTGAGCGCATCATGCAAAAGGTGGCGGCCGACCAGGCCCGCGCCAAGAAGCTGACGCGCCGCTTCATCGTCACCGAGGCCCTGTTCGAGACCACCGGCGAGATGAACGACCTGCCACGCCTGATCGAGCTCAAGGAGAAGTACAAGTTCCGCATCATCCTGGACGAGACCTGGTCGTTTGGCGTCCTGGGCCGCACCGGTCGCGGCCTCACTGAGGCTCAGAACGTCGATCCCACCCAGGTGGACATGATTGTTGGTTCCCTCGCCGGTCCCCTCTGCGCCGGTGGCGGTTTCTGTGCTGGACCCAAGGACGTCGTTGAGCATCAGCGCTTGACGGCCGCCTCTTATACGTTCTCGGCGGCGTTGCCAGCCATGTTGGCTATTACCGCCAGCGAAAGCTTGCATGTCATTCAGGAGAACCCCGAGGCGACGCTGGGCGTGTGCAGGGAGAATGCGCGGTTGATGAGGGCGCAGCTTGACCCCAAGAGCGACTGGGTTATTTGCACCAGCGCGCCCGAGAACCCGATTCTGTTGTTGGTGCTGAAGCCGCAGGTGGTGGAGGCGAGGAGACTGACGGTGGAGGATCAGGAGAGGTTGTTGCAGGAGTGCGCTGATGAGGTATGTCCTTTTTTCCCTTTTGACTTCTCCATTCTATCTTGCACTAACAACCCCCGCAGTGCCTCGCAAACAACATCCTTGTCACTCGCCTCAAGGGCGGCCCCCATCACCACCCACGCCGGCCTCAAGGATAACGTCTACACCGCCACGCCTGCCCTCAAGGTCTGCGTCACATCTGGTCTGTCCAAGAAGGAGACCGAGAAGGCGGGCATTGCCATCCGTCACGCTATCACCAAAGTCATGACCAAGAAGGGAAACAACAAGTTGGGGGTTCCTACTGCTTAGACAGACGTCGTCTCGAAGAGCGGCTAGCGGGTGTTCACTTCTTGTTTTTGTTTGATTCTTTTCCTTCTTGCCTTACTCACACCATGCTATATAAATACTTTATTGGGATACTTCAAAGGCGGTAGTGGGGTAGAGAGAGGGGGGGCTTATGGAGTGTGCGGATGTTGGAGGAACGGCGGCTGTATGGAATAGGAAAAAGAAAAATGATGGTTTGAAAGGACATGGGATACGAATTAGATGGACGGGATGGTTGGTTGATAGACAAGGTGGCAGGGTAGATGGGATGGATGGATGTCATGATAGACCAAGATAGTCAAGTTAATTCGTAATGATGTGAACGGTATTGGATACATACTACCTTGTGTAGGTAGTTGTCATGGTCCCGAGGTCAAGTTGAACGCAGTTCGAGCGGATATGAGGCCTTGGAAGAAGAATGATTATCAGCTTGCTTGCTAGGTACCTACCTAGTAGGTATTCTCCCTTGAGGTGCAGTATTGCTATCACATATGCTTTCCGTTCGGTCTTCTCCATCGCATAGTATTCATCATCGTACACACATACCAGACTTTCGTATTAAGTCAGATGTCTCCCTCACCAAAGCCATACCAAGGTAAATAAAACCTCCCTATTCCACCATCTAGCAGCGGGATATTCGTACATATTTTGAAACCCCCCAAAACCGAAGTCCACCAAAATTTGCATGAACAAGCAAGTAAAAGAACAACATAGAACATCGAGCTCGAACAATGCCCCCCAGACCTAAATAACAATCACAGAACAGAAACAAAAAACCAAATAACGAACTGATAAAAACCATCACAAGATGCCTAGGTACCAAAACTCTCTTCCTTCACCCTCAAAAACGCCAAGCAAGCGAGCAGTCCACCTACGCAGTAATCATCGATCATCACCACCTGTATGAATTCCCCAAAACTGCTCGGCATAAAACGTCCCCCTCTCCGCTTTTTTCCACGGATCATCAAACGCCGTAAACATGTACACCTCAAAATCCCCATCATCCCCAAACCCCCTGGCTTTCGCCTCCTTCCAAATCTCCATCACGCCCCTTACCACCTCCTTCTGTTCCGCTCTTCCGGGCACAGCCTTGTAATTTGCGTTTCCCTGCGTCGGCCAGCCTGTTTCGGTGACTACCACTCTTTTTTGTTTTTGTTTCGTCTCTCCTTTTATGTCCGTTGAGGTTGTGGCTGCCTCGCGAATATTCAACACCTGCCTCTTGACAAAGTCCGCCGCCTGCTTCGCCGTCGTGTGCGGGTCGAAGAACGGATGGACATTAACGGCGCAGTAATCCGTGTCTGGGCTGCTGCATAATTGCGGGTGTTGCAAGACGGCGACGAAGGTGTCGACGGTTACTACCGGCCCGTTGTAGCCTTCCCTCCGCAGCGCTTGGCGGGCTGTACGTACCGCGGCTAGCACTTGGGCGGGCGTGGCCTGTCCGTTGTTCACTAGCTCGTTGCCGACGCTGATGGTGTCAATCAGGGTATCCCAGACTTGCTGCACGCTCATCTTCTTGGGGGAGGAGCTGGTGGCTACAAAGGTTTGCACGTCTTTCACCAAGGTGGTGATTTGCCCAGTGAGATCTGAGAGATGGAAAATTCCGAGGAAGAGCTTCAATGGCGGGATTCCAGGCGGCGCAGACGCGGATGCTGAAGAAACGGCACGGAGCGTGTTTAGGACTTGGGAGCAGTCGACGCCGTAGATGCGGACGGCTGAGTAAAGGCCTGTTTTAGCAATCTTGCGGAAGTCCGAGGCAATGTTGGTCGGGGACCGGCATCCCGTGAGATCGTAGGGGGCGTACGTTACGCCGGGGAGACGTTGGGGGATGAAGCCGGGGTGAATGTGAGTGGTGGTGTTGATGTTGGTGTTACTGAGACTTGACGTGTTATTTGTTGATGGAGGCGTGTTGTTCATGGGCTTGGTGGGCTTGGTGGGTTTGATCAGTTTTTTGTTGACCTTCTTGTTGTACGAAAGGTACGAAGAGAGGTTGGTGCGCTTCGTTTTTGATTTGAGTGTTGTTTGTGCCCGGATCAAAGATGAGGACGAGGAATTTGGCGAAGAGGCAGTTGCTTGTAAGATGATGGGGATGATATTCTTCTCTGTGCTGGGCATCTGTGCATTTTCATCCACGTAGACGACTACCTCTTCGACTTCTGTAGCTGTCGAAGTTGCAGCGGTTGAAGGTATTTCAACGGCGGAGGAGATGTCTTCTCTTGCTGCCAACGTCATAACACTCTCAGCTCCTCCGACTCTCCGTCCCGTAGATGGTGTTCGAGCTTCCAAGACAGTAGATATTCCATCTTCTTCGTCTCCAACCAAAGCCTCTGGTGCTTCGGTCTTATTCACCTGGATAGGAATATCGATCAGACCCGGGTGATGGCGGTGACGGGGTGGATGAAGACGATGGAAGTCATATTGATGCCGAGCGGTCTGACTGCGGTAATGGCCTAATCCTAGATTTGTCTAGTCAGCCCACCATCTCCTTATTTGTGTGTTTTCTAATTAATTGATTGGAGGCTTACTGTCATCACCAGCGGCCGAAACAGAAGACAAAGTACATCCAAGGATACTAGCCACCAGGGCCAGTCGAGGGATTTGTATCGGATATCTCATCGTGAATTGGGAGTGTCCTCCGTCTGTCTATCCGTTCTGTTCACACTTGGTCACTTGCGCGGGGTGAAACAAAGAGACTGTCGTAAAGCCTAACAAGAAAAAACGAGAGACGAGAGACAGAGTAACTCGGACAAAGATTTGATTAAGACAAAATAGTTGAGGTCAACTCAACCATCAATTACCAAGAGAATCCAAAATCCAAGACTGCGAGAGATGAACAAACGGTGCTCTGTATTTGGCAGACGTAAGTACAAGTGAAGTGTGGCAGAAGCGAACGAAGGGCAACCCAAAATACACAAGAGAACTAAAAGAAGCTCGTCCACTTCCACTTGCGTAGATTCGAGTCTTCAGTGGTTGACTTGCTCCTTCTTCTCTTCTTCCCAAGTTCAAATCAACCATTCAGCTCTAGTTCTTTCCCAAACGGAAGCCGCTCATCGCCAACTAACCCAACCCAACCCAACCAGGAAGACGAGACACTCCCCAACAGTTAGTTCTTTCTTTCTACACGGTGATTGAGCAGGAACGAGAAGTCACGTAGGATGGTGTGGTGAGCACACAGTGTCCTTCCACTTTGGAAACATGACCCAACCTACCTCTAGTAACACCCTCACCATGACGAACATCACTGGAATGCTAAGCCTATTATTACCCATTTATCAACAGCTGAGCCCCACGTGTCCTCCTCGCTCGTGCCCGGTAGTACTGGGGATGTCCCAGACTGGATCATTGGAGGCGTAAGTAAGCTAGACTCGGCATTCCTTTCTCCTCGTTTCTGGCAGTTGGTTAAGTATCCTGAAGTCAGGTTCATTCAAATCTTGTCACTTACCGCCGACACTGGCAAGGTCGAGACCTTTGGGCAGACCGTCCTCGGCACATATTAGCTAGATCGGCACGTGTACGATAAGAGGTACATAGATAGGTAGTTATGCGATGGAGGCTTATTATTCGGAATATTGTATATCTTGGGAGTACTGAAACATAAAGGAAAGGACCCGTGGTTACTGAAATAGTGTCAAGGTCCAAATCTATCAATCGATGCCGCCAGCCGTTCGGGACGATATGATCCTATGGACCGACTGACTGACTGAAAGAAAGCAAAGGAAGTGTCTAACGTCGCTTTTAACGAGATGACAAAAACACCCAAAGCGTGAGCAATCAATACCCCTTCTGGGCCTACGTTCTTTAGAGGTATCCATCATAGTAAACACAATACTCGTATACAATCACAACCCATGGAACCCAACCAAACCCAATTTACGCCACTGATTCCCATATCCTCCTCCCATCCCTTACCACCCACCCCATGTCATGATCAGATCAAGCACCAGCAACAACAGCCAGCCCCTCATAAATCTTCTTCCTAACCGCATAAAACGTCCCACCCACTTTCATAGCCGCATTCAACAACCCACCACTCGTCGTCCCAGGCATCGTATCACTCGGCAACCCCACGCTCTCCAGTTCCACCCTGCCGCCCTGCGCTGTCGATTTGCGCACAACAACCACATCGTCGATCAACAGCGTACCTTCGCCCTTGAACTCCACCTTGTGGCCTGCGCTCAACATTGCACGACGCAAGTCAGCTAGGCGGAGCTCGCCTACGTGGAGGGGTTGTGCGGCTTGGGAGCGGACGGATAACGAAGAGGCTAAGGTTGGCGGGACGAGGTCTAGCGTGGGAAGAGAGGCGGTGGTGGTTGGTAGTGTGTTGGTGCCTGTTTTTACTAAGGCTGTAGACGGCTCAGAGGGGGCGGAACCGTCTTCGAGTTTTGGACGTTTTGCACTGTCGGCGTCTTCGGTAGAGGTAGGCTGGAACTCGCCTCCTGGAAGCAACAGGCCCGTGACGGTGACGATTCCTAGACCGCGCACGTTCTGCCATTTGAGACCCTTGACCAGCGGATCGGCTAGTTTCAGGACCCAGGCGTTGGTGTCGACCGAGGCGTCGACTGTTGTGCCCACCGCGGGTGTGAGCACCTCGATGGCGGACTCGGTACCGGTGGATTGGGCAATGAGCAGCTTCTTGACGTCTGCGGCCAGGGCCAAGGTCTCGTCTTTGCCGCCGGCGACAAGGACCAGCTTGCGCGGCTGGATGAGCGGGATAAGCATGGTCAAACTGCGCTTGTCGTGGAGGCCGCTGAAGTCAACAAAGGCGATGCGCAGGTGGACGGGGATGGTCTCCTTGGTGACCACCAGCTTGGCGGGGCCGTTGAGGGTGTCGTCTTCTTCGTCTTCGAGATCGGAGAGGTCGTCGCCTGCTGGGCCGTTCTCGGAAAAGGGAGCGGCGTCGGCTTCGCCTGCGGAGAGGCGACGGCGGTCGTTGTGGTGGGGCCGCTTGTTGGGCCCCAAACCGCCTCGGCCCCTGCCGGCTGTTCCAACGTCTTCCCACTTGCGCTTCTTGCCGAGACCTTCGAGCTCTTGGGTGTTGTTGTTTGCTTGGCCGGCTTCTGCGTTCTCGGCGTCTTCGCGTTCTTCGGCGCGAAGGTAGTCTTCGGGCCGGATCAGTTCGCCAAATTCGTCGGCACGCCTCCTACGCATGGCGACGGGGAACATGCGGTCTCGGCCCTTCTTGCCGCGGACATTGAAGTCGTATGTGTTCTCCTTCTTGATGAGGATGGTGACACCGAGGTCCTCGTCCTTGAGGGCCACCTTTTTGCGGCTTGCTTGAGCCATGGTGGTTGCAATATTAAGAGCCTTTCCTTGTTGCTCTGTGTCGGAGCCTTCTGAATCGGTGTCGGTGTCGGTATCAGCGTCATCCAACACGTCTCCTGGTGCTTCTAATGTGGTGGTGCCACCGCTTTGTAGAGTGGCCTGTAGCTGCCGTTGTGTTGCTAGCCATTGTTGATAGACGTTTAGCTCATCACCCTCAAGCCCCTTTCGTTCAGCAGTTTCTACCTCCAACTCGCGGTTACCAGCATAGACCTGTTCGAATGTGTCGCCGTTGCTGGTACGTTCTGTCGCCACCCCGTCCCTTCTCTCTTTCCACCACTCCCATAGTGTCCTCGCAATCGATGGTTTGTGGTTCGGCTCGAAGTTGGGCTTCTCCGTTAGAATGACCAAGTTACGCGCATCAGCGGCAATAGATTTGAGAATATCCTTGGAGAAACCCCAGTCCAGGCTCGCGTCGCTGGCGAGAATAACCTTGGCTCTTGGTTCGGTATCCTCCGACTGTTTCAAAATCTTCTCAATCTGTGCCTTGCGCTCCAGTAGCCTCAAGTATTTGAAGTCGAATGGTCCTGGTCCGGTCTGGTGATTACCCTCATCTCTCCTGTTGTTCCTCCTCGATTCGTCCGCAAAAGCTTCAAACTCTTTGATAATGTTGTCGTCCATCCACTCCAACATACTCCTGGCATTCTTCATGGTACTGCTGATAGTGCGTCCGGCAAGGAACAGTTTGGCCGACTTGAAGACATCATTGTCCTTGGCGACCTCTTTTCTCCAGGCGTGCTCGAGAAGATAAGACAGCTCCAACACCCTGGCGCTCGAATCAACGGGGATAAGGACGGTACCACCTCTGGCAATGCAAAGCTTGATCGATTCCATCAGTTGTTCGTCACGCTTGAGACGCGACAGAGAGGCATCCGGGGTACGACTGCTGCATACTAGAGCTGTTGGCTTGTGCAACTGCTCAATAACCTGTGTACTTCCGGCACCGCCATGATTGCCACTTAGCCAAGCCGCTCCCGCAAAGACATTCTCGCGGGAATGGTTCCAATCAACGGCGTAGACAATCGACTCCAACCCATGCTGAATGTGCCAAATCGTTCCTCCTAGTGTGTGGCCCGAGTTGTATGCGGTAATCGTGAGGCCGTTGAGAGGCGGGGAGAAGGGCGACGGTAGCGGCTGATGTGGCTGAGAATACTTTAAAGGCTGGATTAGAGAGAAGTATTTTGTGATCTCCTCGGGAGTGGGTGGCTGGAGGAGGAAGGTGTTCTCTGCCGAGGCGGCCTGGGAGTAGCCTGAGGCGTACGATACTTCGGCGAGCGAGGCTGATGAGATGGTCGTCGCGGCTAGGGGTGTCGAGGCATAGAGGTCCTGTGTCAGGGTACGGCCGAGATCGATGACGGGGCGCGTCGCATACACGGGAATGCGCTGGAAGGGTGGGAAGTGCTTGCAGCAGTGCGCGTAGGCGGCTAGATGGGGGACGGTCGCGTGGGTGAGAAGAATGAGCGAGAGAGTTGGCGCTATTCTGCCGAGCTCCCTAAGCTTTTCGACATCAAAGGTCTCGTCCCAGCCGACATCGATCAGGATCTTGACGCCGCCGTCGAGCTCCAGCAGCGACTGCGAAGCCGACGAGTCGGAGAGGGCACCCTGGAGAGGGCAGAAGCTGAACATTGTGTGAATGTATTATTACCTGTGTTGGTAAGCGTGGGAACCGTCCAAGAACTCCATCAGACTGGAGTGGTGTCCGATATGGAGGTGGGTTCAGTTGTTGGTGGGTGTGATGTAGTGGAGTTGTCTTGGGAGACGGACGTTGAAAGATGGATTGCAGTGCAAGAGGCTCTGTTGACCCATGCTGAATTGGCCTGGATTGGCGGTTACAGACGCGGTTACAGGGCCCAATTGGACCATTCAGGGGGGGTTCCTAGTGCAGCACTACAGGCGCCTCTTTGTCGCGTGGGCTTGGTGTACCTTTCCACTCGTACCGCACAGCTGGCTGCCAAGTGTCGATGTGATTGGCTGACAGCCGGCAGACTTTCTCAAAGCTCAGACCGAGGCGTGTGCGAGGGACCTGCAGCTTCCAGGGGAGCTTCCATTCTTTCCTACATGCGCTGTTGTTCAGTGGACTTGAAAATACCCGGCGATTGACACGGCAGCATCGCGGCCCCACTTTTAGCTGGCCCCGGGCTGAGACGGGACTCGCTGGAAAAGGACAGCTCGACAGGACCACCGCGTTACACTGGAGCGGTCCCGCCCGCGATAGAGCCAGATAACCTCCACCGGGAAACACCACTGTTCGTCCTCTACCACTCCGACCCTCAGGCCTCAACTACTAACAACTTATAATTCCAACATGGCCTGTTGATGCCTCGACGACCTCAAACAAATCTGCTGGGCATGATCAACAACAACACTACGGACATCCCACGATAAACTGCCGTCCTTCCACCTTTACTCTTCTCGACCCCGACCCGATCTCGATCCAGCTCCCCTCCCCGAGAGGTCGACGATTCGCCGCCGCCCCCTTTTCTTCCATAATAAATATAACACTCATATACGACTACGGCTACGAAACTCTAAACCACTCGACGACGACACCCACAACGACGACGACGGTGACATATTACTACTAATAAAGAACAACAAACATGGCCGACTACTCCATGTACCACGCCCTGGGTCAGGGGGAACCCCTCGACCCCAACGATCCCAACCGCACCACACAGCCGGCGCCCCCTCAGTTCCAACCGCCAGTTGCCCCGAATCCATACCATCCCGGCGCCGAATACAATGCTCCCGGCCAGCAACAACCTCAGCAGCAGTATGCTCAGGCGTACGGCCAGCAACAACAATACGGTGCCCCCTCTCCCTATGGCGCCCCTTCTCCTTATGGCGCCCCCTCGCCCATGGCCGGCCCCCCTTCGGCCGGTTTGCAGTCTCCCTACGGCGCTCCTCCTCCACAATCCCCCATGTCGCCAATGGATGATCTAGGCTTGGCTGCACAGATGGGTGGCATGTCCTTGGGTGGTGGTGCTGGTGCCGAACACCACGGGAGGAAGAAGAAGAAGGATCGCCATGCCTTCCACAATGTCGAGGCCCCCGCCGGCTCTTCCCAGCCCTTCAACGGCATCCCTCCGGCCGGAACTCCTGCAACCCAATTCCTCAACGCCGACCCCTCCCTCGCCGGCAGGATACCAGGTCATCAGGGCCACGGTCAGTTCCCAATGCCCGCCAGCCCAGCTTTCAGCCCCGTCCCTACCTCTGCCGCCGACTTCGCCGCAAGGGACGCTACGCAGGGTGTTGGTTCCGGTGTCTTTGCTGCCGGCGGTCCTCAGGGGGGCAAGCCTTCGCCAGACGATACCCCCAGTGTCCCCCTTTCTCGGGACTCTGTTCAGCCTTACTTCCAAACCAACGTATACCCAACCTTTGAGCGCCTCGTCCCACCCCCGGCTCTCACCTCGTTTGTTGCTCTCGACCAGGGTAACTCCTCACCCAAGTTTGCTCGCCTCACCATGACCAACCTGCCGGCAAGTGCAGAAGGTCTTAAGAGCACTGGTCTGCCCTTGGGTCTTCTCCTCCAGCCCCTGGCCGAGACTCAGCCTGGCGAGCTGTCCATCCCTGTTCTCGACTTCGGTGAACAGGGCCCTCCACGCTGCCACAGGTGCAGAGCTTACATGAACCCCTTTATGATGTTCAAGGCCGGCGGCAACAAGTTTGTCTGCAACCTTTGTACCTATGCCAACGATACCCCTCCCGAGTACTTCTGCGCTCTTAGCCCCCAGGGCGTCCGCGTTGATCGTGACCAGCGCCCCGAGCTGACCCGCGGAACCGTCGAGTTCGTTGTCCCCAAGGAGTACTGGACCAAGGAACCCGTCGGCATGCGCTACCTCTTTGTCATTGATGTTACTCAGGAGTCTTACAACAAGGGCTTCCTGGAGTCCTTCTGTGAAGGCATCCTGAGTGCTCTATATGGTGGCTCCGAGGAGGGCGAAGAAGAGCAGGATGAGAACGGAGAGCCAAAGAGGAAGATTCCCGCTGGTGCCAAGGTCGGCTTTGTCACCTTTGACCAGGAGATTCACTTCTACAATTGCAACCCGGCGTTGGAACAGGCCCAGATGATCGTTATGCCCGACATCGAGGACCCCTTTTTGCCCCTGAGCGATGGTCTCTTTGTGGACCCCTACGAGTCCAAGGCGGTCATCAGCTCGCTCTTGACTCGCCTGCCCCAAATGTTCTCCAACATCAAGAACCCGGAGCCTGCCCTGCTGTCCGCACTCAACGCGGCAGTCGCTGGGCTTGAGAAGACGGGCGGTAAAGTCTTCTGCTCCCTTGCGGCTCTGCCTACCTGGGGTCCTGGCCGTCTCTTTATGAGAGACGATGGCAAGCACCCTGGTGGCGAGCCTGACAAGAAGCTTTTCACTACGGAGCACCCTGGATGGAGGAAATTGGCCGAGAAAATGGTTTCTCTCGGAGTTGGTGCCGATTTCTTCATGGCTTCACCATCTGGCGGCTATCTTGATATTGCCACCATTGGCCATGTCTCCTCTACCACCGGCGGTGAAACCTTCTTCTACCCCAACTTTGTCGTCCAGCGCGACAGCACCAAACTCTCCCTGGAAATCCACCACGCTGTCAGGCGCGAGACCGGCTACGCTGCCTTGATGAAGGTCCGCTGCTCCAACGGCCTCCAAGTGAACTCCTATCACGGCAATTTTATTCAGCACACCTTTGGCGCCGACCTCGAAATCGGCGTCATCGATGCTGACAAGGCCCTAGCCGTCACCTTCGGTTACGACGGCAAGCTCGACTCCAAGCTTGACGCACACTTCCAGGCCGCCTTGCTCTATACCACCGCCTCCGGCCAGCGTCGCGTACGCTGCATCAACGTCATCGCCGGCGTCTCCGACCAAGCGCGCGACTGCCTCAAGTTCATTGACCAAGACGCTGTCGTCTCGATCCTCGCCAAGGAGGCCAGCACCAAGCTTTCCACCACCAGCGCCAACCTCAAGGAAGTCCGCTCCTCTCTGACTGAAAAGACCATCGACATCCTGGCCCTCTACCGCAAGAACCACCTCGCCGTACCCCACCCACCCCAGCAGCTCGTCATGCCTGAGCGTCTTAAAGAGTTTGCCATGTACGTCCTGGGAATGCTCAAATGCCGCGCCTTCAAGGGCGGTAACGAGACCACCGACCGTCGCGTGCACGACATGCGTCTGATCCGCTCTATGGGCGCCCGCGAACTCTCTCTCTATCTCTACCCCCGCATGATCCCGCTACACAACCTCCAGCCCGAAGACGGCTATCCCGACGCCACCACGGGTCACCTGCGCATGCCCTCGGCTCTGCGCGCCTCCTTTGCCCGCGTCGAGCCCGGCGGCGTTTATCTGGTTGATAACGGGCAGGTCTGTCTACTCTGGATGCACGCACAGACTGCGCCCGCGCTTATTCAGGACCTGTTTGGCGAGGACAAGACAACGCTGCAGTCACTCGATCCTTACACGTCGACTATCCCTGTTCTGGAAACGCACTTGAATGCGCAGACGAGGAATATCATTGAGTACATGCGGACGGTGAGGGGCAGCAAGGGGTTGACGATCCAGTTGGCGAGACAGGGCATCGACGGAGCCGAGTTTGAGTTTGCGCGGATGTTGGTGGAGGATCGGAATAACGAGGCGCAGAGCTATGTGGACTGGCTGGTGCATGTGCACAAGGGGGTGCAGTTGGAGGTGAGTTTTCGCAATCCTACACCTACTTCCTATATCCCTCTGGTAGGTGACTGGTGAACGTAACGGCTTGCTAACATTGAGGAATGACACACAGCTCGCTGGTCAACGTAAGAGGGAAGATGGCGAGGGACACTCGGCACTGGGAAGCTTTACGGGATTGAGACCTTCGTATTGGTAGGCGCCAGGGTGTCAGGAAGACAGATGAGGGTTGGGGGTTGTTATTACGTTTATGTGTATTGGGAGGAAAGCGAGATGTGATCAAGAGGGATCAAAATCTGGTGGATATATTCGTTAGTTGGAGCTTCAAGAAGGATGGGCGGAAAAAGAATACCATGATAATTTATTTACGTTCCTACCTTACTTTATTCCTCATTCTTTACGGGATCTCGGTTATTGATTACCTTGGGTCTAGTGCCTTGGGGAGTTGATCACCTTGTAAAGTGGGTGGCCATAAGTGGACATAAATGGACAGTAGGTATACGGTTTGCTATATCATAAGACCCTCGTCGTTCCTCTTACTCTTGCACTTGACCGTTACGGTGACAAGATTATTAAGGTAACTAACTTTACTTGGCTTACTTACCTTACTAACTCACCGTACACTACTTACTTCCTTCACCGAAACTGTAGGTACCTCTAACTTATCCAGTTCCTACACCGAGCCCATGAGCCCACGAGCCCAATAAAGACGCGGATCTCAGCTGAATAAAGCCTACCTAGATCTACCTAGTGTCTAGGTGCTCTCGCTTGCTTCGCTATCTCCGAAACTTTACATACAGTACCTACATTTCCATGGTTACCTAGCAATCCGATCACATCGCTTATGTACGTACATACCTAGGTAGAGGTATGTATTGTTACCCGCTTTATCTGTCTGTGGGTTGGTTCCAATATTTATCCAACCCAGAGGTTACCCAAGACTTTCTCCCTGCCTGCGTCATCTAACTC